ACCTATGTAAAATGTTCCGGGGAATCGATTGGCGTCAATTAAACTGCAAAATTCGTAGTAGTTTTGAAGTTATAGTCGGATTTAAATTCTCGATATTTTTGACTTTATCAGAAATTTTCTCGATAACTATTCATCATAGAGCACTGAAATTTTTAATGTATGATAGAAAACCAACCAACCAACCAACCAAACTTTGTTACCTGACAGTTACAGGGGCAGGCCAGGTATGTTTCGAGGGTTGAGAATATATCAATGAGAAACGGACATGTGCAATCACCCTTCAGCTTGGGGACGAAGGGAAGAACTGGATACCTCTAGGGACTGGGGCCGCGGGGCCGCAGGCGAGCGGGGGCATGCTCGGAGAAGACCTAGCCACCTCTCTCTCAAGCGCTATTGAGAGGATTAATACCGTAACCAGGACCTGGGTGCGCAACAACCTCGTGAGAGCGCAGCGGGGTACGTGCARCAGGAATCTTGACCGGGGGGCTTGCCTTGGCCGGCCGGCCCGCGAGGAAGAAAACCTCTGTAAAAAATCCCAAAGCCCAGTGGTCGGTTACCCTTTCTAGCGCCCATGGGCAGCGTCTGTCGGCTGCGACGGACGTGGGTGGGGGAGAACTCCACCCCCTAGCGAGAAAGAAGTGGTTTTCTTGGCATACCCCGGGACGGGCGTCAACCCCGGGGCGAACCCGTTTTACTTCGCCCATTAAATCGAATTGTATGGATTCTGATCAAACTAAACAGGATACTGTCGCGAAGACTGAGGAGTTGGAACGACAAGGATTAGAAAAACAAGGTACCCTCATACAACCAATTGAGGATATGGAGGAACGTTCCGTATTTAGTAAGTCGACTAGGGTTATGAGAACCCCGCCTCAGACAAGGCAAAGGGCATTTACATGGGGAGAAGACCAAAGTCAAACCCAAAGAGCGCCTGTCTGCGAAAGCTGGGAGACACCGCCCGGACAATCGCAGGCGAAGAGGAAAAGACAACAAACGCCTGAGACAGAGACCACAGAAATGCAAATCTTGGTAGCTAGTTTAGTAAACAAAGGCCAAAGACTGAGCCAAATAGTTGGGAAAGAAAAGCTTGAAAAGGCTGAAGTGGCAAAACAAGTGGAAGACATCAACAGGTCAATCTCTACACTAGAAAGGAAACAGGAGGCACTTTTCTTTCCTGAAAGGGCAAAAACCAAAAAGCAAAGAAATGCCGAACAGGAGGAAAGGTCTAAAAAGGCGGAGGCTTTTAAGAAAGCCATGGCTAAGG